CCTTTTTGAAGGACTCCGGATCATCAGGTCACACATTAATTAGGTCACTCCTCCTACCCCAATATAAAACATGCTTAAGAGAAATATGAAAATTACCCCTCCCTATAATCTACCTTGTCTCGTTAACTACAACTATCACCCTCCCTGTTAAATTACAAAAATTACACTACCCATCAATTTCCTTTCATTTCGTTGTTGGAATTGTTAGCTGATGATCCGGAGTCCTTTAAAAAGGATTTTGGTGAAATAAATTATTGTAATGGTACCTAAAAAGTGGTCTGTTTTTCATTATATATATATATATATATATATATATATATATATATATATATATATATATATATATATATATATATATGTATGTATGTATGTATATATATATATATATGCACACACACCTATATATATATATATATATATATATATATATATATATATATATATATATATATATATATATATATGCATATATATATATATATATATATATATATATATATATATATATATATATATATATACATACACACACACACAGATCGAGATCTTGAGAGGTAGGCATAAAATTTATATAGCTGGAGGAACAACTGAATCAAATGGTAAGAATATAAGTAGGCATATTGAAAGAAAGAAAGAAAGAAAGAAAGAAACAAACAAACAAACAAACAAACAATGAAGAATGAAAAATACATTTAAAGCTGGAAGAGTTAGGAAGGAGATAAAAAAAGAAAGGAAGAAAGAAAAGAAAACCAAAGAGGATTAAATGTGAAAGAATAAATGAGAAAAAATGATAAAAAATATAGTTAAGTCGAAAAATAAAAAAGAGAAAGAAACAAAGAGAAAAGAAAAAGAAAGGCAAACCTAATAAAGAGAAAGAAGAGAAAGGATTAAACGTGAAAAAGAAACTGGGAAAATGATGAAAAATAAAGTTAAACCTAAAGAATAAATGAGAAAAGAAAGAAAGAAAAAAAAGAAAGAAAGATAAAAGAAAATAAAATAAGAGAAAAACGGAATAAAGGATATTAAACAATCGAAATAAGCAAGAAACATTATAAATGAAGATAAAAAGGAAAATGTCTCTTGGAAATAAATAAATATATAGCGAAAGAAAGATGAAAGAAAGAAAATGGGTTGATGAAAAACGATAGATAAAAAAGAGACACTGGCAGAGAGAGAAAAAAAAGAACAAAGTTATTAAATATAAAAATTAAATAACTTTGAGAGGATTAAAACCTGATGAATTTAACGGACGTACAAACAATTAACGGACACCAAGAAATAAAACAAAATATTCGAATGCGTTCAAGTCTCTAGCCCCATCACTAAAAACAGATAGACTTTAAAAGGAACCTATAAAGCATAGTTTGTCCAGAAAATGAAAAATTTAACAGACAGATAAACTTTCAACGAAACTATAAATCATAGAATGAACAGCAAACTAAAATTTAACAGATAAACATTGAACTAACCTGTAAATCATAGAATGAACGATGAACTATTTAACAAACTTTAGAACGAACCTGTAAACCATAGAATGAACAGTAAACTAAAATTTAACCAACAGGTAAACTATATAACAACCTGTAAACCCTATAATAAACAGTAAACTAAAATTTAACAAACTTTAGCTGTAAACCATAAAATGAACAGTAAACTAAAATTTAACAGACAGATAAACATTTGAACGAACCTGGAAACCAAAAAATGAACAGTATACTAAAATTTAACCAACAGGTAAACTATATAACAACCTGTAAACCCTATAATAAACAGTAAACTAAAATTTAACAAACTCGTAAACTATAGAAAAACTTGTAAACCATAGAATGAACAGCAAACTAAAATTTAACAAACATGTAAACTATATAACAACCTGTAAACCATAGAATAAACAGTAAACTAAAATTTAACAAACTTTAGCTGTAAACCATAAAATAAACGGTAAACTAAAATTTAACAGACAGATAAACATTAGAACGAACCTGAAAAGCATAGAATGAACAGTAATCTAAAATTTAACAAACAGGTAAACTTTAGAACGAACTTGTAAACCATAGTATGAACAATAAACTAAAGTTTAACGAACAGGTAAACTTTAAAACAAGAAAAGAATGGAGTTGAAGAATATAGAAGCTAGAGAAAAGAGAAAATGTGAAAATCTAAAAAGAAGTCCAGACGAAAATGCCGATGCGTCGTATTGACACTGTCTTTGCTGCGACAGTTTGCAAGATCTGAAAAAGTTTGCGTATCGAAACGAATCACAAGTTAAGATAACTATTTGTTACACCCACCGATCCTGATAAATCAAAACGAGGCTTAACTGTCATGGCGGAGATTTCAGCCACCGATTGTTTTGTCTCCTTTTACGATTTCATGGCCGAACAGGTATCTGTAGAGATACGGCTTGATACTGACAATGAATCGATAATATATTGAACAACCATTGATCTCAGAGCAGTATCACGCGCTGCTTGTAACCCAGGGACTATTAAAATTCCTTTTGCGCTCACCCCCACTCTCTCTTTCTCACTAGTGCTCTCTTTGTTTTTGCTTGATCGCTCAGTATTTTTTTTATTACATGCTTATTTTTTTTGCTTCGATCTGAAATGTTTTTTTTTTCTTGATTTCGCTATGCATATTCCTTCTACTAGAATTTTATTATAGTTGATTTTCTTCAACGCATTCAATAAACGTATTTTTTTGAGTGTTTCTGTGCTTTCTATAACTTTCGCTCGGTTCTTTCCGGCAGTTTTATTATCCTTCTTTTTTTTTTCTTTTCTTTGCGTTGTCCTTTCTTTCTTTTTTTTTTTTTTTGATTTTTTGTCATTTCGTTTCACTGTTTTGTCCGTCTTTCTTTCTTTCGTTCTTGTTCCTTTCTTTGTGTTGTTTTCCTTTTCTTTAATGTCATTTCTTTATCTTTATTGTCTCTTCTTTATTTTTTACGTTATAGTTTCTTTCTTTTTATTGCGATTTCATTCTTTCATTCTTTCTTTCTTTCTATCTATCTATCTATCTATCTATCCTTTCCTTTCCTTCCATTCTCTCTTTCTTTTTATCTTTCTTACTATCTATCTATCTATCTATCTATATTGTGTTCTTCCATTGTATTTATGGTCATTTATTTGTTTCTTTACATTGTAGTTTCCTTCTTTTTATTGGGATATTTTCTTTCCGTTTTCCATTCTCTGTTGTATTCTTGTTTTTCATTGATTTCTATTCTTTTTATTGATTGATTTCCATATTCAAAATGGTCATTTTCTTTCTTTCGTTCTTCTTCTTTCTTTCTTTCTTTCTTTCTTTCTTTCTTGTTTCCTTCCTTCCTTCCTTCTTTCTTTCTTTTCCTTCTTTCCTTCCTTCCTTTCTTTCTTTTTCCTTCCTTGTTTCCTTCCTTTCTTTCTTTTTCCTTCTTTGTTTCCTTCCTTCTTTCTTTCTTTCTTTTTCCTTCCTTGTTTCCTTCCTTCCTTCTTTTTTATCTTACTATTCTATCTTTCATCTCTTCTTTGGTTCTTTTTCTTTCTTTTCGTCTTGTTTTCATTCATTATTTTCTGTTTATATACTCTTTATATTTACTCAATATTGTTTCCTTTCTTTCTTTATGATGCTCTTTTTTTCTTTTCTTCATTCTCTCTATCTCTCTATCATTCTTTGCCCTTTCTTTAGTCATCCGTTTTTTTATTTATTTATTTACATTACTAATCTTCTTTCAGTCTTCATTTTCTTCACCCACTGGTTTCTTTCTTTGATTCAAGGAACTTCTAAAAGCTCACAAATTTCCTTTCTCTGTTAGACATGTCTTTGTTTCTTTCGTTCCTTCCTCTCTTCTTTCTTTCTTTCTTTCTTTCTTTCTTTCTTTCTTTCTTTCTTTCTTTTCCCTTCCGTGTTTCCTCCCTTCCTTCTTTCTTTTTCCTTCCTTGTTTCCTTCCTTCCTTCTTTCTTTCTTTTCCTTCCTTCCTTCCTTCCTTCCTTCCTTCATTTCTTTCTTTCTTTCTTTTTCCTTCCTTCTTTCCTTCTTTCTTTCTTTTTCCTTCCTTCCTTCCTTCTTTCTTTCCTTCTTTTTCCTTCCTTCCTTCCTTCCTTCCTTCTTTCTTTCCTTCTTTTTCCTTCCTTCCTTCCTTCATTTCTTTCTTTCTTTTTCCTTCCTTCTTTCCTTCTTTCTTTCTTTTTCCTTCCTTCCTTCCTTCCTTCCTTCCTTCCTTCCTTCCTTCCTTCCTTCCTTCCTTCCTTTCCTTCCTTCCTTCCTTCCTTCATTTCTTTCTTTCTTTCTTTTTCCTTCCTTCTTTCCTTCTTTCTTTCTTTTTCCTTCCTTCCTTCCTTCCTTCCTTCCTTCCTCCCTCCCTTCCTTCCTTCCTTCCTTCCTTCCTTCCTTCTTTCTTTCTTTCTTTCTTTCTTTCTTTCTTTCTTTCTTTCAATTCTTTTACAGTTTTCTACATTTTATTTTCATTTATATAATCATTTAACCATTTTCTTACACCTCTTTCTCTCAGTAGACATCCGTTTTCATTTTCCAATTCTTGCTTCTCCTTCCTCTTTCATTTGCCATTGCAGCTGAAACTCACGCGTAAAAATTCGAAACAAATACTCAAAAAATAAAACCTTTTTCTGAGACACGATATAAAAAAAAAAAGACAAAGTGAACGCATGAAACAGAGGCAACGTTAAAGACAAAAACTTTAAAAAGAGCAGGAAAAAAAAAGTTAAACATTTAAAAAGCGGAGACGGTATCGAATATTGAAAAAAAAAAGACGAAATACCGAGTTAGATCCCAAAACAAAAACGAAACGAAACAAAATTACAGGACACAAAACAAACAGTAAATAGCTGTAAAAAGTAGGAGAATTTAAGAGAAAAGAAGACAGCCAAATATCAATACGGTACAAAAGAATACCAGAAATAAAGATAGAATAGAGTAAACAAAAAAATTATAAATATAATATTAATCACTTTAGGCTAAGAGCAAAAGAAAAAAAAAAACAAGGGGACATGGATTCTTAAGAAACTAGTTAAACCTCGCATATCGGCACGCGTTCAAAAAAGAAGCAGCAACAGAAAAAAAAATGGCGCCTTAACGATTTCTCGTGATCTTGGAATCGATACACTTTTGCGTCTCTCAGAACTCTGGAGTCGATGCATGAGAGACAGACATTGATGCTGACATGTTGATGACATATTTGTGAATGGCGGCTGATATCACTAACACAGAAGTTCATTTCAAAATCTGGCTAGCACAGTTAAAGAGAATTTATGAATTTCAATTCAGAATTAAATAAATAATACGTGAACTTAAATGATACGTATGATAAACTATTTTCTGTCCTTTTTGTTTTATAAACGTTTTAAATCTTTAAAACACTTCGTCAACATTCGTGAGTAAATCGAACATTTTAGACTGTTCTTTGAAATTGTTTTTAATTCGAGAAATGAGAGCAAGTGCTCAAATGAGCTTCCCGGTCTTTCAACGTGATATAGCCGTAAAGTTCCAACCGTTGTTGGGTTTATTTAAACTTAGAACAATGTGATAGATAGATAGATAGATAGATAGATAGATAGATAGATAGATAGATAGATAAAAAGAAAGACAGAAGGAAAGGAAAGGAAAGGATAGATAGATAGATAGATAGATAGATAGGAAAAAAGAAATATACAAGGAAAGAATAGATAGATAGATAGATAGATAGATAGATAGATAGAAAGTAAGAAAGATAAAAAGAAAGAGAAGCAAAGGAAAGGATACATAGATGGATGTAAGTCGATTGAGATAGGTAGATATAAAGGAAGAAAGAAAGAGAGAAGGAATTAATAGATGGATAGATTTAAGCAGATTGAGATGGATAAATAGAAAAAAAAAATAGATAGATAGATAGATAGATAGATAGATAGATAGATAGATAGATGTGTCGTTAAATTCGTATTTTTGTTTTTTTTTTGTTTTTTTACAGTAAGGTTCACTATGTACAAGGCCTGAAATTAATTCGAGGTAGTGAGTTAGTTTACGGGGTAGTTTATACGGTTAGGAGGTGGTAGGTAATGGTTAAGGGAACAAGTTAAGATTTTAGTAATCGGGTAAACCTCCTTATTCCACAGAGCAATGGCTCGCAACAAGAAGCTACTTGAGTGAAACTTACTTGTCACCGAAAAAATACGAAGGAAATGCAAATAGTTTGATACAGTGTAAGTGTGAATGCAGTTCGTCCGAGCACTTTCCATATAAGTAGAGATAGAACAGTGAGAAGTTTGACACATGACACCTATGAGAGAGAAGTTGGAGGATGGAAAATAATTTGTCATACATAAGGACTTGGAGACGCTTTCGAATTCTATCAGGACTGGAATGTAAAACCATATTTTTTTAAGCATTACGACCCGAGCAAGGCGTGAAGCCACTAGGATGCAGAAGATTTGGAGCGACAGCAGATAGGAGTGATAGAGGAAAGGATGAGGAGAAGGATAGTGGATAGATCAAGACAACTGGAGATGTCGATTGACATTACATTTGAATAGTTGGAGATTATAGCTCTCAGGGAAACAGTAATTGAGAAGGGTGTTCCACTGGCGAGAGGTGCGAGGTATGAAGCTATTGGAGTAGAAGAGACGGCTACATTTAAAAGTTTCTACAGTGTAAGGGTGGGAGCGGGATGCCAGCCTCGTAGGGCGCTTGAATTCATGGAGTCTAAAACTAAACGTACAATAACGTTCCAAAATTCAGGAATGTGTAATTAATATCTTGTAGCCGGTCCTCCAGTATGGTAAAATGCAACGTCACTACGTGGTATCGATTGCACGAACGATCGAATGAATTCTTTCTATGCCACCCAAGAGATATTTATTCCGGGAATGGTAGAATGAACTCTTTGTATATCCCCCCCCGAGAGCTGTCCATAGCTCTCTTATATTTGTAGATGCAGGATCTTACGGGTTAAAAGGCCCTTTTTTTTACAACCTACCATTAATTATCGATTAAATTGATGGAGGCCTTACATACAGAATTTGTCAGAGATCTTCAGATTGATCCCTATACAGATTCAATGACATCCTTAGTCAGAACAGCATATCAAACCCATGTACAATGAATACAGCCCAAATAATTATGGAGAATAATCCAGCCAACACTGTCTTTTTTTGGAATCTGAAGTCAATGTTTTCATGAGGTCTACGCCGTATCATTCGTAAGATACAATAGGGAATATGACTCAAGTTGTCAATGATTCAGGGGCTAATTAACAACGTCACGCGTCCAGTTTAGTAATCACTATGATACCCCGTTCGAATTTCTTCCTTCTATGTTCATGCATTCATCAAATATCGAGGTACCACTGAAATAGTTTTGAGTTTTTCCATTGCATAAAGTTATAGCACCGCTAGCTGCCATTAGGTGGCTCGGTGGAGTAATGGATAGCAGCTCGGATTGAAGAATCGGTGAACTGAGTTCGAATTCCAGACAAAATCCATTACATTCACTTACGTGCAAATCCCCTTGGATTAAGGTATAAATCCTCTTCTTCTCCCACCCTAGCTATGGGTAAATAGCTGGGGAGAGAAGAAGGCAAAGAATTAAATGGTGGTTCCATGCTCGTCAAACCCTCTCGATCAGAAGTTTGCCTGCCGGTTGTAGTTTATCGTCGTACCCAAGACACTGATGGAGTTTATCGTCATACCTAGAATGCATAGATTAGGGGTTCTCAAAATTGTTTGCCCAATGCAACCTTTCCAACATTTGCAGAATGTCATTCCCCGCTCCTTTTCAATATGACAAGCCAGATTCTATGATTGCTCTCCTCCCCACCCCTAAACTTACTGCGGTCACAATTTACCCCTGAAAATTCAAAATTAAAGTGGGTGTGAATTTCCCCCCTGTTGAGAACCGCTGGCATAGATATTAATGGAATGAGAGAAACAGACAGAAAAAAATAGCTGGCGATTTATATATATATATATATATATATATATATATATATATATATATATATATATGTATATAAAAAAAAAAAAAACAGTAAGATATAAAATCCGGTGTTCTTATAGATATTTTTATTTTTACAAAATAGTGCTCAATGTAAATTTACAGAGCATTAATATTATAAATTAATTGATTTAAAAATATGGTTTTTTTTTCGCTACACAGACCATGTTTCAAAAATAGAAGCTAAAACCCCGAATTTAATTTTGCAATTAAATTAAAAGCATTAGTTCCATTTCATCTTCAAGCGAATGAAATGGAACTAATGCTTTTAATTTAATTGCAAAATTAAATTGGGGTTTTTATCTTCTATTTTGAAACATGGTTGGAACTGTGTAGCGAAAAACCATATTTTAAATCAATTAATTTATAATATATATATATATATATATGTGTGTGTGTGTGTGTGTGTGTGTGTAGAGAATGAATCAAAGATCTATTGTCAATATATTAGCCTCAGTTTCTGCTTTTAATATAATTCTCTCTCTCTCTCTCTATATATATAGAGAGAAATTATATAATATAATTTTCTCTCTCTCTCTCTCTCTCTATATATATATATATATATATATATATATAAAAGAGAGAGAGAGAGAGAGAATTATATTAAGAGCGAAACTGAGGCTAATACATTACAATAGATCTTTGATTTATTTCATTTTTTACTGCAAATCGACCATTTGCAAGTTCTTTAAAACTATATTTCTCTCTTTTACATAATACGAAATTTTTGGTCCTAATAATAGCTTTTACTGATACAAGTTCTACTAATTAACCCATACATGGAGGGGAGAAGAGGCCTGCTCACGAGTCTCTTAAATGCACCTGCGTGTCGCAAATGAACATCATGAACCCTGACTGGAATGGGAACTCGCTTCCCCAACCTCCCTATTCATCATCACCCGCGCATCTAAGCTTACTACTCTCGGTATTCCGAAGATCTCATCCAGTCTTGGTACTGGCCAGGCTCGACGTTGCTTAACTTCGGTGATCTTACGAGAACTGGTGGTTCAATATGAGCAATAGATCTAATAATGTATCTAAATATAAATTCTAGTCAAATTCTGTAAAACTTCAATAAATATTATGTACACTTTCAATTTTCAACGGTTGCTAATTTCCGAAGCTTAAATATACTTACCGCGCGTAATCAAATCAACGTTCCGCGCCATCTTGTCGATTATTCATTACAGAGTATACAGGGATGTTGAACTTTTAAAATGTCTTCATTTATCTCTAAAAATGGATACCAATTTCTAGCGTTTTGTAATAACAGAAAAAGCTGCAATGTGATTATAAATTCACTCGTTTAGCTATTAATGAAAGTCAAAACTTCCTCGGTCAGCATCACCGTTCAGTAATCCCCCAAGTAAGCCACATTCGTGTGATTCAGCGTTTGGTTCCGGGTACGCCAAGTTGCCTTAATATACCTTAATCAAATCTTCTAATTATTTCTGTTTAACACATGTAAAAGTGAACTAACCTATTCTATAACAAGAAAACATAGCTTATTTTATTATTTGATCATTGTTACCTTGTCCTTGTGCATTACATAGCACTTAAAAAAAACAATTGTGTACATGCATATAAAAAAGAAATATTGGTAAATGAATTGTACAGGGCTGGCCATGATCGAGCATCGTTTTCCTATGCAATAATTTGGATTTATAAAATCTAAATATCAATGGTGTCTTCTCGCTAGAGTTTACATCTTAGATAAAATATCATTCTACCTAAAAATTATCATCAGCAACAGCAGCATCATAATTATTATCATGACCTATGAGCAAATATGGTCGTAGGGTCGCTGCGCAGTGGAACCACCAGTTCTTTCCACATGTCTGGACTGAAAGACGTAGAGTTATTCATTCATGAGTAATGTATCATGGGCAATTAGAAGTGGCGGAGCCCATCCATCTCCAGGTAAAGCCACAGCCGATGCCCTCCAGCATGGTCAGTAGGTTACGACCGCATCACGTTGAAACACCGGTTCCTGTAACATCAACAAAGTTAAGCAACGATGAGCCTGGCTAGAACCTACATGGTTGCCATATTGGCAATACTAGATACTGTCAGCTTAGATGTGCGGATGGTGTAATGGATAATGGCTGGGAATTGTCAATCGGAATACCGAGTTCCAATTCCCGTTGCTTTCGTTATATTCACTTACGGGCAAATACACTTGGGAGAGGCATGAATCCACTTTTACACCCCTCAGTTGTGGGTTAATTAGTATCACTAAAAACGTTTTTATCTAAAAAAAAAAAATGAATAAATAAATAAAAATAAAATTGCGTACAAATATTTCGATTTCGGCATTAATGACTCATAAAAGTTGATATGACACTAAACAAAATCAACCAACCAAAATCCAAATATTTCGATTTCGGCATTAAATAACCCATAGAGATGTTGATATGCCGCTAAACAAAATCAACCAACCAAAATTCAAATATATAGATTTCGGTATTAAATAACCCATAGAGATTGATATGCCGCTAAACAAAATCAACCAACCAAAATCCAAAATATAGATTTCGGTATTAAATAACCCATAGAGATTGATATGCCGCTAAACAAAATCAACCAACCAAAATCCAAATATATAGATTTCGGTATTAAATAACCCATAGAGATTGATATGCCGCTAAACAAAATCAACCAACCAAAATCCAAATATTTAGATTTCGGTATTAAATAACCCATAGAGATTGATATGCCGCTAAACAAAATCAACCAACCAAAATCCAAATATTTAGATTTCGGCATTAAATAACACATAGATGTTGATATGCCGCTAAACAAAATCAACCAACCAAAATCCAAATATTTAGATTTCGGAATTAAATAACCCATAGAGGTTGATATGACAGTAAACAAAATCAACCAACCAAAATCCAAATATTTAGATTTCGGCATTAAATAACCCATAGAGATGTTGATATGCCACTAAACAAAATCAACCAACCAAAATCCAAATATATAGACTTCGGTATTAAATAAC